AAACTTCTAAAAGTATATAGGAAGGGGCTAGCCCTAGCACTAGCTAATATCTTTTTACAAAGCCTAGCACTAGGACACTACCTAAGACTATTTAGGAAGTCCCTAACAGTAGTGCTAAGGAAGCCCTAGAAGGAAGACTATATATAGCTTAAGGCCTATAGACTAATAGCCCTACTTAATATAATAGGCAAGGTGCTAGAAAAAATTGTCGCTAAAAGGCTAACAACCTTTACCGAGGAAAGGAATATCCTTCCTAAAGGCTAGATAGGAGGAAGAAAGAAGAGGTTAACACTAATAGCTATAGAACTAATTATAGAACAGATTAAGCATATCTAGTACTATAGTTAAAACTAGATAGCAACCCTCCTCTCCCTTAACATCTTAGGAGCCTTTAACAATGTCTCCTATAAAAGGCTCCTATATATACTTAAACAGAAAGCTATACTAAGCTAGATAGTCCAATTTATCTAGTCCTTCCTATAGGAAAGATCAATACAGCTTATTCTAGGCAAATTCAAATTAGACCTAATGCTAACTAAAAAGGGAATCCCCTAAGGATTAATACTCTCCCTAATCCTCTTCCTTATCTTTATAGCAGACCTACTCCTACTCCTAGAATCAAAAAACATATTAGCATTAGGGTTTGTAGATAATACAAACATCCTAGCCTAGTCTAAGACAATAGAAACCAACTGCAAGATCCTAGAAGAGAAGCACTAGGAGTATAAGAAATAGGCAAGGAGGTATAGAGCAAAATTCGCCCTAGAAAAGTACTAGCTTATCCACTTTAGCAAGGCTAAATTAACCTATAATATAAAGCAATCAATCACTATCTAAGGCTTTAAAACCCAACTATTAGCAGAGCTTAGGGTACTAAGGATCTAGCTAGATCCAAAACTAAATTAGGGACTATAAGTAAAGAAGGCAAAGTAGAGGGCAGATACTAATATACAATCTATTAATAGGCTTATAGCCTCTATATAGGGGGCTACATTCGAGAAAGCTAAAGTTATATACAAAGCAATTATTAAGCTAGCAATGCTATATAGAGCATAGATATAGACAGCCTAGGAGAAAATACTAAAGAGGATTAAGCAACTAGTTAGTAGGACCTAAACCTAAAGCCTAAAGAAAATCCTAGGAGTATACAAAACTATACTAACAAAGGTAGTAGAAATAGAATTAGGGATCCTACTAGTTAAACAATACTTTAAGGGACTAAGATACTAATATATAGCAAAGACAATAGAATACCTAGCCTAATAGACTATCTAAAAGGCACTAGACAAGATAAAAGCCTAGTATATTAGGACTAGGAGGCGAGATAGACTATAAATGACTCTCTAGAAAGTCAAAGACCTAGAGCAATATAGAGTCTTAACAAGAGAAATGCTAGAGAAAGAGCTTTAGGGACCAAATATAAGGCTAAAGGAAGATAAGCTAAAGGGAGAGAAACAAAGCCTAGCAGAATCAATTACTAGATACCTATAGGAGCAGGAATAGAACAAAACACAAGTCAGACTAGGAACCCTAAAGGCACTAACCAAATTTGGTTAATATAACTACTAGCTCTATAAGGACCTAAACAGGGCCGAGGCAAGCCTAGCTATCCAAATCAGATCTAAACATATTAGACTTAGATCTTACTTGTTTAAAAGAAACGTCCTAGGAATTGAAAGCAGAGCTTGCTAATATAGCTACTAATCTTAGAACCCTAAGCATATACTACTAGTCTACCCTTAATAGTTAGAAGGCAGAAGTGATTAGAGACTAAAAGCAATAGAAAGGGAATACGATAAGCTAATCTAGAGCAAAGAAGACCTAAAGAGGATAGTAAAGTAGATTATTAAATAGGGATTTGTATAACAATTCGCACTAGTAAGGGAAACTAAGGAGTAGATAAGAAGGAAGGAAGAAGAGAGGGAAAGAAGGGTAGGGTAGTAGGCAAGGTAGTTAGAGGGTAACAACTATAATACTAGTATACCCTAGAGGAAGGAAAACAAGGAAACGAGGAAGATTAATACTTATAAATAGGATAGGAGGGAGGTTTTTACTAACTAAGTTGGTTTCCTACCTAAAACAATACATAGAAACAGACCTACATAGGCCGAAAGGCACTACAATAGGCAAATGAAATATCTATCTATCTATATCCTATACCTATATAAGGATAGATACCTGTATTCCTTCCTATTCTTAAGTCTACGGAAGGCATATAAGTAGGAAACTACTAGGAGATTAATAAAGACCCGGATTCTATCGCCGCGGCGGTCGCTAAGCACCTAGTAGTAACGCTAGAGGTTCTTACGGATGCTAAGGCGAAGGAGCGCTATAAAGAGAGTAATAAGAAGCGCTGCGAGCGAGAGTTACGAGGTCTAGGAGGTGTTAGTTATAGTAAGAACACTAGATTATATTTAGTTTAGAATATAAGAAAGGAAAGTTATATAAGCGCAGCCCGCGCGGACCGCACTTCCGAACTAACCGAAAGCCTAATCGTATCGCCTACCGTCTCGCTAAGCGCTAAACTAAGCTCGCTTCGGTAGGCTATCCTTCGACTAATCTTATAACTTCTATTCCTATAATACTTCTACTATATTTTTATAGACAATCTGTTTAATAACGTACTATTATTCGCAGTCTTACGACATCTCGGTATTGCGGCGACTAGAACGGTACGATCTAGCTTACTCTCGTAGCTATAGCGAGGCAAAACCTTCGAGAAACTAGGGACTTTAAAAAAAGATAGTATAAGGTAGAAATCTATATACCTAGGTCTTAATCGTAAGACGACCCGGTTTCCCTACGATATACTACTTTGCAAGGCAATTTATAGTATAGCGGCGGTAATCTAGGCTTATCTAGTAGGATAGGAACCTCGTCTAGTTCCTTATAATAGGTTATCGACCCTTCGAGTAGATACGACGGCTTCGCGTATACCCTCGAGCTAGAAACAACGCCTATATCGACAAGTACGTAAGACCTTATTAGACAACCGACGGCAAACAAGAGATGCTTCTACTAGAGATTGCTGCCCTATATAATAACTATATAGGTAGCGTTAATATTTATAACTAGTTACGCTATTATTACTCGATATAGTATAAGTTACGGAAGGGTTAGCATCCCTTATTCTACTTCCTACTCGACGCTTTAGTTATTAACTTATTTATCCTTCTATAAGGTAATAAGCAGTAGACAAAGGACTAACAGTTTACTTACTAACGCGACTTCCGTATAGTACTAGCGTAGCAAATAGTCTAACTCGGTTAGTAAGAGATTAACGAGAAATAGGCTATAGAGGCGGCTTTAAAGATATAGCGTACTCTAACTCCGCTACGGCCTCGAAGCTATAGCTAATTTGTCTTAGGTTATATCTATAATACGAGCGGCTCTCGATCTCGTCGCTATTAGATTAAGAAGGGTAATAGTCTTCCTATAGCCGAAGAAGCTCGTCGCTTCGCTCGTAGTAGTAACGCTATATATAACTAGAAGGCTGTTCTACGACGCTAACGTTACTACCTATATAAGTACGTAAGGACCGCTTAGGGGTTTAAATACTAGCCTACTAATAAGAACGATAAGCACTATATAACTTACGCCTACTTATATTATAGACCTATCGCCTTATATAAGGTATATAATATAATATAGTATAACTAGCCTAATCTCTATACCTTCTTTAAGAGCCTAAAGCTAGATTTAGTACCTACTAGCGCTTTAACCTCTAGCGATTAACTATGGTCGCTATTGCCTATAAATTAGCTTTATAGCCGACACTTAAGGCGTGCTACGACTTTACGAGCTCGGTAATAGTCTCTTCTAGTCGGTTTACCTAGCGCTAAAGTGCCTTAAACTCCGCCCTTTTAATAACTATTACCTTACTTCGAGAGCCTTCTTCGGCGGAGCTAGCTACTATTAGCGACTCCTTAACCTCCTTCTATAGAAGGTTTACGTCTACCCTTAAGTCCCTTACTACCTCCGCGAGACAGTTAACCTTCGCTATAAGTAGACTAATATTAAACTACTTCTTAAGTAGACTCGGCGGCTCGAGAAGGGCTTAAAGTGTGTCTTTACTAAGCTTATAGCGCCTTAGTCGACGGCGTATACGAGACAACTAAGACTCGGTTATTAGTAGTAGCTAATTAGTATTAGAAGGTCTTAATCTATAGTCTATTTGTCTATATATCTATCTCGGTAGCGTGCTTAGCGCCTCTATTATGCCTTCTTCTATACCTTCTTCTTTACTTGCTAAGGTTTGCTATAAAACTTTTACTAGAGGACGACTCGTAAAGGTATCGGCTTCTTAACTCTAAGCTTTACTACGGCTAAATCCGAGACCTAATCGGATAGTATCGCTATTCGAGTAGTAATACAGGTTTGTATAGAGCTACACCGGATTTAGCATAGAAAGTGGAACCTAACAAGGGGACTGCCAGGGTGGGTGTTCGACGGACTTAACCACGGACTTCGTTAAGGGGATCGCGAATCGCGATGTGATGTGGTCTCCCGGCCCGGGGGCTCGCCGAAGCTTCCAAGTTTGAAGTCCGCATTCCGCAGCTCACGTGGCGGGATGCCTCAGGCCGTCAGTGAGTGAAGATGCACTTTCGCCCGACCTCGGCTGAACTGCTCATGAAATGCTTTCGAGTGACGCTGCTTGTCCATCTTGGACTCCACGTGCCCAATCTCTGGTCCTTCCTGAGCTCTACTGTTCGCTCGCCCACTGCCTTCTTCCACCACGCCGTTCCCGCGTGGGGAGTTACTCTTAACAAATCGGACATATCTGGACCACGCTTCTGCAGAGTCTCGTCATTCTGAATCCTCCTCCTTCAATTGCGATGTGCCAAAGACAGTCGTGTGGAGAGGGGACCGTTCGTGGCATGGCAAGGAAGCCAAGTTGGGAAAGACTCATGCAGGTACGGCCATCTAGCGTCGAGATCGATGTAAGAGGCGGAGCGCACAACAGGTCGTTAGGTAGTATTCCTTTCTAGCACAGTTCTATCATGCATTTCTCGAAGAGCTTACCGGCCATCGTGCCCCTCAGCCTTGCTTCGGCTCTCCCTCAGGCCAGCCCTACTGGTAGCAGCGCTGCAGCTGTAAGCAAAACGACATGCAATGGCAAGACCTATGTGTATCGGGAACTCGCGGGCTACGGCTTTGTTCCATCCAATGCGACTGACAAGTTTGGGGACACCATCGGAGGACACGGTTCGGCGATAGCCATCGACGGCGCCTCTTGGCTGAAGATTGGAAATAGCTACACTGGACTACTCTATACTCTGCCTGACAGAGGCTGGAACACCGAAGGAGCACTCAATTTCCAGAACCGGATTCACAAATTCCAGCTCACATTTACACCAAATGAGAATGCCACAGCGGCGAATCCTTCACCGCCCAACCTCCAACTCAAATACTTGGTGAGTTCTTCCGTCTGGAATAGGGACACGCGTGTTACCGATACTAACCAACGAGAAGGACACGATCTTGTTGACAGATCCACGCATTCAGCCAACTTCTGGCCTTGATGGAGCCATTACAGGACCTTATTTGAATTATCCATTGATCGGAGAGGTACCATCTGCGAACTACACTGGTGATGGTTTTGGCGGTGCAGGGACTGGCGGCAACAGAGCCGTGATCGACTCAGAAGGTCTCGTGCTTGGTCCAGGAGGAACGTACTTCGTGTCTGACGAGTATGGGGACTACATATACCAGTTTCTCCCCACCGGCCAAATGATTCGTGCCATTCGCCCTCCGCCAGCATTTATCCCTATTCGCAATGGCAACGAGTCATTCAGTGCGAACAGCCCACCAAGATACAACCCAGCGCTTGCTCCTACTCCCGGCAACCCAACGTCTGGAAGGTCTAACAACCAAGGTCTTGAGGGCTTGACGGTTAATCCAGCTGGGACCAGACTCTATGCTCTGACCCAATCCGCATTAATTCAGGATGGCGGTACCTCGAATCCTACATCTCGCTATGCTCGCCTGCTCTCGTACGATATCACCGGGCTATCTACACGTCTTGTTGGAGAATACGTGGTTCCATTGAATCGCGTCACGAGCTCGGCCACCAGCAACATTGCGAGGCAATCAGAGATCCACTATATCTCTGACACTCAATTCCTCGTCCTTGCTCGTGACAGCGGCCGTGGACGTGGACAAGGTCCATCGAACACACAGAGCCGATACCGCGACGTTGATGTGTTCGACATCAGCGCAGCAACCAACATTGCCGGCAAGTCTGATTGCCAGACCTGCTCCGTTGCTCCTGGAGGTGTTCTGAACCCAAACACCACTGCCGCGACCTACTGCAAGTGGCTGGACTTCAACAACAATGCTCAGCTGAACCGATACGGTGTTCACAATGGCGGGGCTGAAGACGCTGGACTCTTGAACGAGAAGTGGGAGTCAATGGCTCTCGTGCCTGTCAACAAGGGTGCCAATGGCAAGGCTGTGAATGATGAGTATTACTTGCTCTCGCTCTCCGACAACGACTTCATCACCCAGGATGGCCATCTTAAGATGGGCCAGTTCAATTATGCTGACTCTAGCGGATACAATCTTGACAACCAGGCTTTGCTTTTCAAAGTTCAGCTGCCGAGCGCATCCAGTCCACTTGTCGGTTGAGCAGACTATGCTGATGTATATGTCAATGCACACACTTTGGACACACAGCTTGTATGAATCGTGTATACATAGACACGTGGTAGACAGTACCAAAGCGTGAAGCAACAAAATCTCGCATAGCTGCAGCCCCACCCAGCGCCAGTTCTCTAATCACATGTTCGGGAGCAGTTCACGAGTTTGTCTAAAGTGTGCTATGATCACGCTCCATGAGCCAATGTTTTCACTTATGACCTGCGAAGCTGCAGGTCATTTCTATGGATTGTAGTATTACTCTTCATCTTCGTCATCCTCTGCCACTATCCTCTCAACGATGAGGTTTCCGCTCCTGCCAATTCTATCGCGTATGCTACCGCCTTTCTCTAAATCGAATACCTCTCGCGGCATAGGCGAGACTAATTGAAACTTGTACGCATGTTCGTAGTCAGTCGGCTCGGGGCTCTCCTTCTCTGACGGTTCTGCCAACTGGTCATGACACTCAACAAAAGCATAGAGCTCTTCCAGATCTGCCTCCGCCCTAAACTTGCGAATGATTCTTTCGCCTGAAGGCATTCTGAGACTCATCCGCACAGCATCCTTCACATCTGTGCTCGGCTCTGCCGGTATGCTCTGTGCTCGCCATTCTCTCCACTGAGCTAATTTTCGAGATTCTTCTGCAGTACGCTCTGCCCTCTCACGCTCTTCTCGCTCTGCCTTCTCTTTTGCCGCTTCCTCTTCCTTCCGTTTTCGTGCCTTCTCCTGGTCTGCTGCAAGCGATCGCTCGTATGCACTTTCTTGCTCTTGTCTGAGATTTCGTGTTGCCTCTTGTTCGCGCCTCTGCCTTCGCGCACTTTCAAGCTTCGTATTATGGCTTGTGATGGCTGTCTGAAGCTTTGAGATCAGATCTTGAGGCGACACGGGCCCCGTCGAGTTTGCCACCTGGGACATGGCCGTCGATGATACCTCCGGGGTATGCACTATCAGTGTCGCAGATGGAAAGCGAGTCACATTGAGTGCAGTGCTGACTTGGTAGGCTTCAGCATCCTGCACGGTACCAGCCCAAAGAATAATGTCGTTGCCGCCGTTCTTCACAAACTCGATGAAGTCGGGCGCCAGGAGGGTCTCTCGCGCGAAGAGAGCATTGTCGTCATGCTCAGGCGACAGGAGGATTACAAGGAGATATTTGAGATCACGCTTTGCTATGTCGAAAGCCTGCGCATAGCCTCCTTCAAAGAAAGGCAAGGTGCCGTCTGTCAGCCCATGCTCCTCCCCAAACTCCCTTATAAATCGTGCAGCCGTATCCCTCGGCGCCAGAGGTCTTCTTGAAGCATCTCGCGAGGGTCGCGAGCTCCGGTGTGACCAGAACCGTGCCAGCAGGCGCGGGAGGAAAGGAAAGACGTAGCCTACCACAGCAAAAGCTCGCTGGAAGAGGGCATACGTTAGACTGAAGGGTAGAAATATGAAGGAGAGCGGGAAAGGCAGAGGCTGTGTCAGCTGGCTCTCTGGAGTAGGCACAACTCGCGGCGCAGGGTGAAAAGCTGCAGCTTGTGTCGACGATCTGGCGGGTATTGTGTCTAGCAGTGTCTCTGCCCTTCGATTGCTCTGTGGCGGCGGCGGAGCACGTGCTGCTTCGGCGGCTGGATCAACGGTCTCTGCGTCGCCATCGAAGAAGCGAGTGATGGCTATTTGTGCGTTCCACTGGCATTTCTGCAGCAGCGGCACTGCGGCCTCGAGGTTCTGATCCGTCACTGATGTGAACTGTTGCAAGGCCAGCTGCTGCTCTTCCGTCAGCGCCGACAGATCTATAGCCGACGAATCAGCCATGTGTGCAGCAGCAGTAGCGAGGAAGCGGCCGAAAATGGCAGCATGGCATGTCGAAGTGAAAGAGTGCGGCTCCACCCCTCGATCGGGAGCGGGAGCTGTGCGATGTCAAGACTCATTCGGCTCCTGCCGAAAAGGCTGAAGCTCGCCGACAGCGCCTGCAACGCGCTTCTGTCTCGACCACATCACATACCGGTACATACCTTCTCTACACCACAGGGAGCTGGGCCTTCCATTGGCATTATTGCTCGGCGTCTTCTCATCCACAGCTCATATTTGACGCTTGGACCGGTGGCAACGTCGCATGCTTCTTCGTATGTGTTGACAATGGAGCAGCAAGACCTCAGACACGCCTGCTGATGCCCTTCGATTCGTGACTTCTGGCCTGGTCGCACGCGACCGCCGTCAAGTGATACCACAGGTATGTACATTCTACCAAATGCCATGCCAGACAGCTTGCCCAGCAACTGTGAGGTACCGACCAGCCAGCCATGGGTACCCAAAGGAAAAGAACCTGGATGCCCTTCGACTACACCCAGACATCGGACACTGAGGAAAGACTAACGAGTAGCGGCAGAGTACCTGTTAGATCTGTCAGCAGTTGTTTGCCGGGACCTGCTTTCATTCCACATCCGGAGCGTCGTGCCTTCTCTGAGCAGCTGGACCGACCATCCAACGCTGCAGAATTGCAGAAACTTCATGACGGCCAAGACCTTACAAGACAGAGTCTGAATGACAGTCTTTCTTCGCAGGAGAGTAGCGCATCTTTTATCTCGAGCCCGGCAAGCACGAGCGCACATCGCGAGCTTCAGCTTGAGCGTCCTACTAGGACTGGGAACGCGCTGTCTACGAACTCCTCGAGCAAAAGTTCTCGGCATAGCTTTGTAGCCGAGGATAGCAAGATATCGCAAGAACCTCAGCTGCGGATCCCAGGTCGGAGTCCACTGGACTGTGTGCATTTCCACGAACCGGATAGGCAAAGCAGTTCAGCGTCTATCCACCCATCACCGGGAAGTAATGATATGGCAAGCGGGACTTTTCGATCGAATGATGCCAGAAGGCCAGCGCGCTATGAGAATAGGCCCCCAATGAGTCAGGTTCTCTGCCGCAATGGCCCACAATGCAGGAAGCTCCTTGAAGGTCTGAAGAGCTACTCGTGCTAGGAGTGTGGACTAGTGCTCACCATCAGCAGGAACTTGTAATTACAATCATGATTTTGGCTCTGGCACTTCCAATGGACTACATAATGCGTAAGCATTCTAGGAAATAAGCAGTGCTGCGCTGATGATGTGCAGTTCGAAAAAGTCCTTAAGCGTCGAGTCACCAGCTTTCACTCCAAAGACAACGAACGCGGTGCCCGTCAAAAATATTGGTATATCACCAAAGGCAGTGGGTGCACCGACGTTCACTCCGCGTGGATCAGGTATGTCGTCGCCTTGTTCGCCGTTAGTGTGAAAAGCTTATAGCGCGCAGGTGCTGCTACCCCTGCTGCATCTTCGCACTCGAAGGAGCCTTCGCTTGAATTCTATCCTCAACATGCATTCCAGCAAGGAAATCAATACCAAGAATTTGTCCCAGGGCAACAATCATTTTTGTCATCACCAGAATTGGACGCACAACCACAGATGAATGCCTTCCCGGACACTTTCTTATCGCAACCAGGAATTCCAGGCCTGGAGGCTTCTCAGAACCACATAAATCCATATGTGCAGCAATCAGCTTCGGTGGCAGCTCAGCCTTACTACCAAGATGCGTCCAGCTTCAAACATCCACTCAATTACCACCTGTATTCTGCCATTGGCCCTCGGCGAGAAAATCTTATGGCATACCAACGCAGTACAAGCGATTTCTTTATACCCGATAACCTGCGAGAAGACTTGCAACGAAAGGCAGATGCAGCGCTGCAGACGTTTGCTAACAGCACGCTTCCACAACACGTTGAATACTTTCATTCGTTGGTTGCCCTAGACACAAACCATTCCAAGGGGCAGTCTGCATTTGGGTATCCTAGCTGGACTTACAAGGCCACATCCAGCAAAGATGGGCACACATATGTCCTCAGGCGCATAGAAGGTTTCCGTCTCACAAGTGAGGCATCCATCCGAACCGTAACTTCCTGGAAGAGGCTGAGCAATTCCAGTATGGTCACGGTGCATGACGCTTTCACAGGACGCTGGTTTGGCGATAGTTCTTTGGTCGTGGTCACCGATTTCCATCCCAACTCTCAGACACTCGCTGAGAAGCATCTGATGCCAGGGAGGAACGCTGGTAGAGCCGGTTCCCAGATTGTGCCGGAGAATGACTTGTGGGGATACATTATACAGCTAGCGAGTGCGCTGAAAACCATCCATTCTGCCAATCTCGCTGCGCAGAGCGTCATGGCATCGAAAGTACTTCTGACATCGAAAAACCGGGTGCGGCTCAATGGATGTGGCGTGTTCGACATCATCAAGTACGATCAGCAGCAATCTGTTCGAGAGTCGCAGAGAAAAGATCTGCAGGATCTCGGTCGGCTGATCCTCTGCATCGCCGCGCGCAGTCCATCTGCACACCAGAACACGCATAAGTCGCTAGAACTGGTCAGCAAATCTTATAGCGAACGACTACGCATCTGCCTTGCATGGCTGGTGGCTCCCCCACCCCTGCCGCAAGATGTCCAAACACAGCCGTCTGCAAAAGCTGCAGAATACAATGTCGAGGCCTTACTCACCAACATTGCCGACAAGGTGGTATCATGCTTTGACAGCGCATTGCATTACGAAGATGCAGTTACAACAAATCTAATGGGCGAGCTTGAAAATGGACGCTTGGTCCGTCTGCTCACGAAGCTCAACGTCATCTTGGAAAGACCAGACACTAGCGTCGTAGCAGGATCGACAACGAATCCAGCGCTCTTGAACCAGCCTTCAGCAGCTTGGTCAGAAACTGGAGAGCGCTACTACTTGAAGCTGTTCCGCGACTTTGTTTTCCACCAAGTCGATCATGAGGGCAGACCGGTCTTGGACCTTGGACATATCATCACATGTCTCAACAAACTCGATGCTGGTATTGATGAGAAAATCCAATTGATTAGTCGCGATGAGCAAAGTGTCTTCATCGTAAGCTACAAAGAGGTCAAGCGAGGATTTGAAGCTGCATGGTCAGAGATCACAAAGCACGCTGATCCCCAACGGCGGTAGGAACCCAGGGTAACGCCTGGTTATTCGACTAGATCGCAGCTTTTCCCGACACGCGAGTACCAAGAGATTTGCATGCACCTCCATTTCAGAGATGCTGTGTACCATCGCTATGGACCAGTTGACTACCAGAGACGCTGGAGGGCAGGGGCAGCAAGCGCGTGGATTCAGTATCCAAGCTTGGATAGAAGCTATCATTAATGCGAGAAACCATGAGCTTGAGAAGTCGTGCAGCACGGAGATATATGATATGATACAGCACGTGGATGATTCAGATTGCTCCTGCACGTGTCACCTGAGCTTCAATAATCTCCCGTACACGCGTGGTCCTGTCACGCTGATCCCTGACACAAACTCTCGCGCGCGTGCTCTGTATGCCTTTTTCGTAACAATTGCCACCATCCTGGAGCAATTCGGTGCAGCTTCAGGACCCTCCAGCTGTCCGGAACTCTTGTGGTGACGAGCTCCCACAGCACTTCCTGGTCAGCAGGAGAGCGCACGGCCGTGGCGTCGCCCGAGAAACGCGACATCGGTACCAGCGTTGAGCTTCCAAGGCAGTATCAAATGCAGCAACAGGAAGAACGTTGGGCCTGGAGGATTCGTATATTCGCGCGACATGTGTGAACGAAGCAAATGTCCCTCGGCGGCCGCAAGAATGTCTCTGCGCTGCAGACACAAATTCCCGCTGTAAATTGAGCCGGTTTCAGCGCACCGCCATAGCCAACTCGATAGCAGAAACGCTGCTTGTCATCAGCGTGTCTTGTACGGACATCAGATATAGACCAGGGGAAATGGCATGCCGGAGAGTCCTGGTTTTTGAGGCATTTCAAGGAAACGAACATTGCCGCCGGCAAAGAAAGTGAAGGGCCGCGATACGTACAGTATTCTAGAACTAGAGCTAGCGCTGCTTACGGACGGACCTCGAGTGTCTCCGCTTTGAGGCGAGGCTTCACTCAGATATCTGCCATTGCCACGGATGGCACGTGAGAATATAAAGATTTTCGTATTGAAGTGAACAGAGCATGTGTTGAAGGTTATGGTCGACGGAAGGAAAGATTCTATTATTCAGTGGGGCGGTGTTGTGTACTGTTGATTCAAAATCAAGCATGGGATTTGCCGTAGTAGTCAAGGTCATCTGCATCCACTCCACCCACGACTCTGAACGCACACTCGCCGCTCCATTCTCCCCTCCCACCGACACCGACGCCGACATCACTCGAGAGCAACGCTACAGCCAGCATTGCAACAGAAATGCAGACATTTGCCCAGCAGATCGCCTGAGCGGATCGCTTTGCTGCGGACGTGTGATTGGCATCGAAACCTGTGCGCGATAACTGGCGACGACATCACCGGCAGGAGAAAAGCTCCACTGTGTGTTCTCACCTTTTCCTCAGCTGTACAGCTCCAAACTCACCTCCAATGAGCACTTAAGCCTTCAGAACCGTCATGTCCACGCCGCAGACGCTCACGCAGACGCTGCCACCGCACCAGCATCTGGACCACCGCCAGCGGTATTTGCCCTCACCTCAGGACCGCTACCTCCCCCCACCGAGGCCCTCCAGCAACGTCAGCGGAGGCTATCACCAGAATATTCCCACCAGACCCTCGAGCAACCTTTCCAATCGCCAATTACCACCTCCACCTCGCGCTGAAAGCGGCATCAGCGCTGCGGCATATTCTCACCCACAGGGCCAGTCACGAGGGGGAGCAGAGTTCGCTCACAGCAACGGCACAACCCAACACGTCAGTTACGACGAGCTCAGGCGGACGGAGAGCCAGTCAACGCAATACCATAGGACTCTGCCTCCACCGCTTCCACCGCTTCCACCGCAGCACGCTCCTTCGACGTCACGTGCATCGGCTGCTGCAGGTGCCGAGATGCCCTCTCAAGCCAATGCTGCATACAGCAACAGCAACAGCACCCAATATCGATCAGGCTCTGCCGAGCGAGGTAGAAAGCGACGGGCAAAGCCGCCGGTAGACTGGGTTGCTTTCTTTGGCGGCAAACCTCCAGCCGAAATTATTGAAATTCATGACGACGACAGCCCAGCCCCTTCTGCTACGGTCCATCGCGCGCCGCCGCAGACGAACGGCTCATCGACATCTCAGCATGCCGACAAGAGGCGAAGAGTGAACGGCGGGAGTGGAGACGTCCCGCAGTACAGCACGACCAACACGCCCTACTCACATACAAATGGCACATCCACAGAAAGCTTACAAGCGACAACAGCGCCCACTTCGCTGGGTTCACAAGCAAGTAGTGGCGCAAGCATGCCCACTGCGCAGACTGGTCAGAAGCGGAAACGAGAGACTAAGTCAAGGACGACCGACTCGGAGCGCAAAAAACAAGAGGTTACTCGCCCAGGGGCGCCTAGGGGCTATCTCGCCGAATATGGCGAATATCAGACACCTCCGCGACATCTCAAGAAGCAGAAGGATGTGGTAGTACCGGCGATCCACGAAGTAAGATCGTGTCCACAGATGGGAGGCGCATGGATTGGACTAACATGTGTTCCAGCGTGAGAAGTTCAAAGAGAAAGTTGACGATGAAGACGGCCACTACATCGTGCACGAGAACAGCCGACTCGGCGAGCGATACAATCTAATTTCACTTCTTGGCCAAGGCACATTCGGCAAGGTCGTCCGGGCAGTCGACATTCGGTCGCGGAAAGAGGTCGCGGTAAAGATCATCCGTGCTGTCCCAAAGGTGAGTTTGGAAGCTACCCGTCCAGAATGGCACTTGCTCACCACCATTATTCGCAGTATCGTGATGCTAGTCGCATCGAGCTTCGGGTTCTCCAAACTCTGCGAGCTGCAGACGAGCACAATCGAAACCGTTGCATTCAACTTCGAGACTGCTTCGACTGGAGAGGCCATATCTGCATCGTCACACCACTTCTTGGTCTGTCCGTCTTCGACTTTCTCAAAAGCGGCGGCTTTGTGCCCTTCCCTGGCTCTCACATTCAAGCATTTGCTCGACAGCTTCTTGGGTCCATTGCATTTCTGCATGATCTCAACCTGATTCACACGGATCTGAAGCCGGAGAACATCCTGCTACTCAACCACACTTATCAGACCTTCACATATAACCGCAACATCCCATCGTCAAGCACACTGACACAGCGATCCGCCAAGTTCCGAAGAGTGCTACTCAGTCCACAGATCAACCTGATCGACTTCGGAAGTGCGACGTTTGATGATGAATATCATAGCTCGGTGGTCAGCACCAGACATTACCGAGCTCCAGAAATCATACTTGGGATCGGATGGTCACACCCGATAGATCTGTGGTCGCTTGGATGCATTTTGGTCGAGTGTTGGACTGGCGATGCACTGTTCCAGACCCACGACTGCTGCGAGCATCTGGGCATGATGGAGGTAGGTCTACATCCGCTCGTGGGACGTGTGGAATATGCTGACGTATTGGCCAGGCTGTCACGGGAAATAGCATCGATCGCCATCTCATTCGTGAAGTGAACCGACTGTCCAAGCGCAACGACCGCAACTCGGCTGCGAGATTCTTCAAGAATGGACATCTACAGTACCCCATGCCGGACACGCCCCGCCAGTCTAGGAAATTTGTGCGTGGTATGAGACGGCTTGAGGAGATCATCCCACAGACAACCAACTTCAATCGCCTCTTCTTGGACCTGCTTAGGCGAATCTTCGTGTATGATCCGAAGAAGCGTATCACGGCTCGCGAGGCTTTGAAGCACCCTTGGTTCGACGAACTAGTGGAGGATGATGGCACGGAAGCGACACGAATCCGTATCGAACGAGATCGGCTGAGCGAAGTCAGCGGAGGACGTTCTCGATAGTACATATGACGCTGCATGCAGTAAGGCAGCTTGGATTGAATGATGGGATGATGGCATTTGTGGAGGGTTGACATCTTGGAACGACCGGAATGGTCTAAATCCTTTGCTTTGAGCCTATTCTGAATTGACGTCTGTCTTTAGACAGACATGAGGCGAAAGCATTGCATGCTAGGCGGCAAGTGGCATAGGTGAGGCGTTAGCAAATCATTTGATCTGGTTGTGGCATCTTAGAAGCTACCTCATCGTTCTCACAGCGAAGGCTGAGCAATGGCTGTTTTGCATAGCACATGGAAATTCCGAGGAGACTTTTGTCAACTTCGTTGCTGCATGCGTTGGATGACATGCGAAATCACGACGCAGAGAATAGGGCCTATATGGCTTTGGAGTGTGTCTGTAGTGCTACTGAATGTGCTGGAGAGCTGTCGAGTCAGTGTCGCACAGCCCGGACTCAGAATCTCGGCAAAGCTGCCCCAGCCATAGTTCTATACTTCATCTCCAAAACCCAAGCTTCATGATACATAGATCCTGTTCGCAACTACTTGTCCATCTCAACTACCCACACTATCTCCGTCGCAATCGTAACACCTCTGCCACGCCATATTTGCAACCACAATGGCCAACCCTCGCATCGAGGAGGTGGATGATGACGAGATCGCCGACGATCCTGAGGAGATGGACCTGGACGCTTTCGATTTCGCTCGACCGCAAGGCATGTCCCTCGGCCAGCCATCCGCGAGCGATGCGCTAGCGGACATGAGTCCAGAAGCAATGCAGACGCTGCTACAAGGGCAAGATCGAGGGCCAGGACAGGCACAGGCTTCGAGCGGTCCGCGTATCTCGAATATGCCGCAAATGAGCGACAAGGAACGCGAGAGGCTGCTGCGCGAACAGCAAGAGCGCAGCAAGAACTACCAATGCATCTATCCAGTCTACTTCGACAGCACTAGGTCGCGGGAGGAGGGTCGCCGTGTCGGCAAAGACGACGCAGTACCGAACCCGCTTGCGAGGGAGATAGCGGACGCCCTGGCTTACATTGCCAGCACATATGGTGTGGACCTTCGCATCGTACTCGAGCCAACCAAAACTCATCCCAAGGACTGGGCGAATCCTGGGCGAGTGAAAGCGCTGCTGAAGAGAGACGGCAAGCCCTCCACTTCCAAGGTATCAAACAGTAAGTGAACTATGAAAGGGTTGCATGTTCTGCATATGCAACAGACTCTAGCACTGGATATAAGTGCCGAAGGAAGGCGGGACTGATCATGTGCTCTTAGAGCGACACCTCTACAAGCTGATTGCAGACTATCTCAAATCCCACCCCACTACCGAAGACACTCCCAAACGCTTGCAGATCCAAGGAATACCGATGCCGAAAGAGAAGATCCCTCCTCCTGCAATCCCGAGGGGATCTAAGATCGGCACGATCCTCCCTCTGCATTCTCCCGCGCTGACGGGAGGCGGAGTATCAGATAACTTTTTAAAAGATATGATGGCAGAAATGGGCGGACAGCTTCCTCCCGGCATGGCCGCTGGTATGGCCGGAATGGGTGTGGGAAATGACTCTGGTGCACAGCCGCAGAAGAAAGTCAAAGACAAGAAAAAGAAATGATCGCGGCAGGGAACCTTCCAAGCGGGTGGTATAGCTACAGCAGCATATCAGCAGCGCCAAGCCACACCTGACTGCCACAAGAGCTCATTCACCGCATTTAGCCGCCCGCGATCTGACCACCGGAGCGCGATCGCACTTGCCACGTTGCTCAGGAGCCGGCACATTATCTTCAAGTGACCTACGAAAGGGGCCGGCTGCAGAACGAACGCGCGGACTAGCTCAGCATACACTTTGCATGTGCTTGCATAAGTATGGAAGTCTTCTTCTACCTACAGTGCAGCACGTGACGGCTTTTTCGGGACGTCAACCCCAGGCCAACGAGAATTTGAATGGAATGAAAATCGTCTACAATGCCGAGATTCTTCAGCTAAAGTCGTAGCGCCGTTGCCGATGCAGCAATGCAATCATGAAGGAATGGCAGCTGGTGAAGGCCGCGCTAGCCCATCAGGGAAAAAGCTTTCACCGTCTCGGCTTACGCAAACCCGTTTCTCGGTCGCCCACTTTGCTTCCAATCCAATCGCTCGAGTGGTGGTGCTTGAAGTACCTGTTGATGACGGCTACTACCGTATCGATGACGAACCGCACCTCTTCTGCAGTAATGTTGTACGCCGGCGCCACGATTATATGATCGCCCCGGCGGCCGTCGGCGCTTCCCGTGCCTGGATACAGGCTAATATTGTACGGCTTTTGCATGCCTATCAGATCGCAGTCAGTTTTTGCAAGGGCATCTATTGTTGAGTGGTGCGAGCGTGGGGTGCATCTGCAAACCGGACTGACCTAGCTCGTGGATTCCCATCGCGACGCCGGTCGAGGGATCGAACGGCTCTTTGCTGGCCTTGTTTCTGACGAATTCGATTCCCCAGAACAAGCCCTTGCCACGTATGTCACCCACCAGAGGGTTTGATGCAAGCCTTTCTCTTAAGAGACGACCGAGCAAAGCGCCCTGCCGTCGCACATTCGCGACCAAATCGTCTTTCTGGATAATTTTCTGCACTGTCAACGCTGCTTTGCAAGCCAGTGGATGGCCTTGGTATGTCTGTCCGTGGCTGAAAGATCCAGTGCCTTCTTGTAGAGCTCCGACAACGTCTCTAGAGGCCATCATCGCAGCTATGGGCATGTACCCGCCTCCTAAGCTTTTTCCCATTGTCATGATGTCTGGCACTACGCCAATGAGCGGGTCTTGCCATGCGTGAAGTGGCTTTGGGAATCGTTCGGATGCTTCGGGTCCGCAGCGTCCAGTGCCTGACATGACTTCGTCGAAAATGAGTAGCGCGCCATACTTGTCGCATACTCTTCGTATAGTCTTGAAGTAGCCGGGAACAGGAGGAACGCATCCAAGTGCCGCTCCAACGACCGGTTCAGCAATGAAGGCAGCTACATTCTTGGGACCAATGCGCTGGAATTCAGCATCGAGCTCCGCCTCTAGCCGCTTGACGAATGCAGCATCCGTGTCGTTCGGACCATTGCTGGTCCAAGACGAGACGCCCCTGTACGCATAGCAAGGGCTCACCTGGCTAGTGTTGACACTCAAGATCGGTTCAAAGATGGCCCTTCGCGCAACGTGACCCCCAGCGGCCAGAGCGCCGAGCGTGGTTCCATGGTAACTCTGGTGTCGGGAGATGAAGTGAGCTCGCGTCGGCTCGGGACAAGGTTTCTCGAGATGGTATTGCCGAGCCATCTTTAGTGCTGCTTCCATGGCTTCACTTCCAGAACTGATGAAGAATGCTCGGGCCATTTCGCCATCGGTGCTATCGACAAGGAGCTTGGCCAGTTCTTCTGCGGGTCGAGTCGCGTAGAAAAGCGAGTGGCAGTATGATACTTCTTGCATCTGCTTGATGAGAGCATCCTGGACGCTGGGATCAAGGAACATGGGTTAGGAGCTTGTTCGGTTACGATAATTTGGTAAAGCATACCGAACGTCACCGTGCCCGAGACAGGCCACAGCTGCACCCCCAGTCGCATCGAAGATTTCTTGTCCGTTGCTGAGGAAGAGATAGTGACCCTGAGCGCCGACGACTTGGAGCGGATCGTGGTGCAACGATCGATGCAAAACGGCGGATTTGCTGGCCTTGACGTCGATGCCGTTTGTGGTCGTGTCGATTTCTTGGTCGACGACATTACCGTCGTTCAGGACGGAAGGAGACATGGTGAAATGTCAATATCGAAATGGAAGCTGTTCAGGTACTGAAATGTGAAAGTGGAAAGGACCGATGAATAACCATCATTGAGGAGTGTTAAGGGGAGAGAGCGACAGGGAACAGATATAGGCAAAGTACTTCAGGCCTGAAACGACAAAGGAAGGCGCCGGGAATGACTGGTTGGCTCTTTGGATGTGCATGCCAAAGTGGGAGATCATAGAGAACCGCCACCGGGCGTTTCGTTTGTAGGTCTTATTATGCCCCCGATTGCCCCATTCATGGGTCATCAGGCGGCGAGCAGCAAAGCTTGGTATGGCTCGAAGCTAATGGGTATTAAACTTTTAACTACGGAAAGTCTTTGATCGGGTTGTGAAGAACACGGCCCGAACGCCGAAGCCGTGGAGAAGAAAGGCACCGTACTGCACTGGACACCCATGTCTGCGCACATGTGACTGACTCTTCACAGCCCTATCTGAGGCCCATGTGCGATCATCTGAACAAGTGAATGCTGCCGGTGGACCATTTGAGGCGGTGAGTGTTGTAGTACAGGCCGGCGACCGGATGGCTTCGGCTGGCAGCATCTACGCTGGTTCTTGGTGCCCTTCCCCTCGGAGGATAAGACACGATCGTCGAGTGGACACAGGTTTTCAGTATGGATGACTTGGATACAGATGGCCGCTCGTAGGTACAGAGTGCGGAGTCGGATCTGGGGGCGCCGTATAGTGAGTTGGGGATGACTTCCTGTTGGACGGCAAAATCGCTGCTTCATCAGCGGGCGTGTTAGCAACAAATCCGTCGAATGACAGGTAGAAGAAGCTGTGGAAGCACCCTCGTGTAGTTTCACTGCTGCATAGACAATGTCGATCTGTTCCAGATCACCTGCGCGCAATATGGGCGAAGCTGAGCCACGTTCGGGCTGGGCAGCGGACTTCTCTCCAGGGTCGTCTTGGCCAACCAGCTCTTCGGATGTTGTTACGCGAAAGGTGTCGCTTCGTGCAGTGCTCCACATTCGTGGTTTGAGGAAGCTGTCAGCCGGCTCGCTTTCAGATCAACACTCGGCCGATCATACGTCGACAAGATATTGAGAGCCTCGCGTTCCCGTGTGGTTTGCGCCGGTCAATGATCGGTCTGCCAATACTGTACTGTTGACGTGCATTCAGCGTATTTGGAATGTGTGCACGTAACGGGGTCGTCGATTCGATGCGTGCGGCGCGGATCAACATTCCCATTTCGAAAAATACGACACGGTCGCAGACAGATATCAAGTCTTACAAGCTGATTCTAGTGGCAGGCCTCACATCAACGGCTTCGCGAATTTGCCCAAAGCACTCGCGCGTTGATGCCGGGATGATAGCGATCATTTCGTGTACTGGCAATCGATAGGTGCGTGGGAAGTAGCAGGCAGCTGACGTGCGGTCCATTGCACGGTTCGGTGCTCCCGTAGGTAGATTCCAGTCCTATGTGCCGATCACTGACATGCAGGCCCATTTGAGGTAGCAGGCCGCTGATCGATGGCACAATCAATACTTCACGTCGTTCGTAGACCATGCTGAGGTTGCCAGGATCAGTGCAATCCTCTCAAGCAAGCCAACCAAAATACGTGGCCATTGCCTGACCGGTGTGCTCTGATGCGGCACGTCCTTGAGTATCCGTCGCGATGATATTTTGCGAGCCTCACACCCTTTTCGAGACCCACTGACGGAACATTTCAAAGTGGTACAGCATGGATGCAACCCAACTCTTCCTCCTTAGCAAGGCAGCCTCAGGCGACCAGGATTGCTTCATCGGTGGGCCGCTCCGATTAGCAGTAAAACGAAACAAACGAAGAGATCCCGCTTGGTCACCATGGCTCCATAGCGTCACCAGGAATGAAAAGAGGGGCGGGCTTGGAACCTTTGCGCAATGGTACCTGGAGTCGTATCTGTGGTGTGGGAATCTTGGTTGAAGACTCCAGCCGGCATCTTGGCAACCAACGCGTACGGCCAGTAGGTGGGCTTGTGAAGCATCGAGCAATGACGATGGGTGCATTTGTAGGTGTCGGGCTCGGCTTTCGAACACGGAAAGCGCTCCGCTCGGTCGCACGAGGTAGGGCTTGCGGCATGTGCGCCGCACATTGATGAAATCGAAGAGTGATCCATTGCTCCAGACATCTCGCTTCGTGCATTCCTTGTCCGCGCCATTTGCCAGCCGGGCCGTACGGCATCATCGGCGTTGCTCGAATCCGTGTGTCGGCAAGCCGAGCAATTTGGAATGCATTCACTTTTACCCGTGTCTCGGATATTTCATTGACTGGACCCACACGGATCCAGCTCTGCCCGGCGACAGCTTCATCCGAGGAATAGTCAATTGCATCTGAGCGTTGTCTCCAGCTGTTCCGTGCAGAAACGTAATTTACGATCCACGTCTCCGCCACGGAAAATGAGCATATCTCCGCCACCATCCAAGCGAAGACGTAAGGAGGTGAAGGAGGATCGAGCAAGCGCTGCAGCACCCAACGTAGCCCGCATAGCCATCTACTCCTGGAACGTCAATGGCATCACACCATTTCTGCAGCCCACGATTGCTGCCTTCTTCGACGCTACGCGAAGCACGGCTGGTAACTTCCCTGCTGATCGGCCAAGCACCTCAGCATCTTTGCGAGATGTTCTGCACAAGTACGGGTAGGTAAGTGTAAGAGCTTGCTGGCATTGAGAATGCTGATCGCATGTGCATATCGCAGGTGGCCCACCATGCTGCTCCTCCAAGAAGTGAAGATCAACCCAGACGATGTAGCAACCCAGAGAAGAGTCCAGCGCGCCGTCATGCCAGCGCCGGATGAGGGCACCGGAGCCGTATCTTACAAGGCCTATTTCAATTTGCCGTCGGACAAAAACAATGCGCGAGGTTTTGGGCGAAAGCTTTATGGCGTTTGCAGCTTGATCCGACAAGACTTTGTGCAGCGTTATGTGGAAAAAGTCCGACAGGTAGACTGGGATGCAGAAGGTCGATTTTTGGTGTGTGAGACCAAAGCCAATGATGCCGTACCGAGACTGGCAATCCTCAATTGTTATCTGGTGAACGGAACCGATGGATCCTACAAGTCTGAGACCGGTGCGGTAGTTGGCACGAGGCACGATCGCAAGCTGAGGGTGCACGAGATGCTGCAGCGTGAGGTCCGAGCACTCGAGGGTAAAGGTAAGTCCACTGGCTCCCGGATACACGATGCTTGCAACCAGATCAGGGAGACTGCAATGACTCATATGGTCTACGCAGCCAATGAGCCCTCTCTTGATCATTCTTCGCTCCCGCAGCCTTCGAAGGGCTAGGATACAGCAACAAAGAAGACGCTGATTCGTGCGCAGGATTCAAGGTTGTCATCGCTGGCGATATGAACGTCGCTCGATCAAGTTGTAAGCATGCTTGATGGCAAACTCCATCCTTCTCTGAGGCATCTTGCTGATGATCATATGATTGAACTTTAGTAGACGGACACCCAAATCTAAGAACTTTCCCGTTACAGCACTGTGTGAATCGTGCCGACTTCGAAGATAGATTCTTGAGCAAGTCTGAGGTTGAAGGAACATCAGCCGATGGTTGTCAATCAGATGCGAGTCTGCAAATGATCGACAGCTTTCGTCACCTTCATCCCACCAAAAAAGGATACACCTTTTATCCGCGCTCCAAGGATTTCAGGGCCAGTGCTGATAGAGTGGATATGATATTACTCTCACGAGGGCTGGAATCAAATCTGAGCGAAGCGGATATGCATGAGACGCCGGCAGACCGTGGACCAAGTGATCATGTCCCACTATTTGCTGAGCTGCAGTTTAAGTGACTTCAAAGAGCCATAGTACCAAAGAGCCTAGCCAAATTAACAGTGCCAGCCAGAGATTGACATCAACTGGAAGCATCGCTAGGGCTTGGTGTCGGAAGTGAGCTCAAAGTCCCAGAGACTTTGCGAGGCGGTCTCGGCCGTCACACAACAGGAGGCTTTCCAGCGGGTTTCTCGCAATGAAGAATGCTTCCTTTGGACACTTCCGCTGGAGCAGACAGTGGCTTCGAGGACGTGTCCCAACCAACTCCAAATCTGCTGCCTTGGATATCAAGGGCCTCGGTGGTCTTCGGATTTCTCGTGGCTGCGGATACAGCTCATACTTAATTGCCGAAGATCATACTGTCCTACCGTTTCCGATGACCTGATTGCACGAATACTGCCATGAGTGTTGGGCAGAGACCTGATTCACCACAGTGTCGACTGTGTAGCGAAAAGCCTCCATTTCCTCTTCCACTGAACCTCCTCCAGCTGCTCCAGATAGATTGACACTGTTGCCTACGTAGCAAGGCCTGTTCAGCTTGCGAACAAGCACTTTTGCCATGCGCACGGTGAAATCCAAAGACGCGGGAGCACTATAGAGCGTGGTGCTCATCGGTTGAGCAGGATTGTATCGCTGTCACACAAGTTAGTTCACGGGTAAATTATAGACGTTGTGAATCTGCTCACATCAGGCATTGCATAGACAAAGCTGCCCATTGCTGATGGAGCAGAACCCAGCTCAGCGCTCGTAGTGGTCAAGAAGAGCACGATCGAGGCTGCCAGTACCGTCAAGTGGATGTTTACCCGCATTCCGGGGCTGCGCGGCAAATCAATCGCGAGCTCAACGATCTTGTTGTCGCTGTTCGTGCCATTCATGGCGGGCGCACCACTTGCACCGCCGGCCATGCGGGCAAGATGAAGTCGAGCGTGACGTTGATTTAGACGCAAGGAGTCTGCGATAGATGATAGCGCTTGCTGTGTTGTCGTGTTCAAAGTAAAGTCAAAAGTCAAAACAGGCCCGGAAGGAAGTGGCGCTTGCGCCGCCTTCCATGTCGAGTCGACGTCGGCCTCTCCTTCCGTTCCTCCACTGATTCCACACATTCCTCTCCGATGGCTGCTGAAGATAGAGAGCTTCAAGACAATGAGTTTGACCCACTTGCTGAACCCCAGGAGAGGCAGGCTGTGTTCGCTGCCCTAGACTCCTACAGGTGCGTCTCGCTGTAAGGATGACCACAGACGTGCCTTGTGTCTGATACTGTTCTTCAGACAATATCGTCGCGCAGCACATTACAACATCACACATCTTCGACGTCAGTCCTTTTATGCTCTGCCTGCGTCTCAAGTCGAGCTTTTGTCGTCGCCACCTTTCTGTCTGCCTAAGGTTTTCGATAGAATAGATCAAGCCATCGCCTCAAATGCCACAATTGCCGACGCCATACTGGGCTTTGCTCTTCCATCATTTGGTCTCGAAATGGCCGATGACACATGGAAAACGCACTCCAAGCCTAGCGATCTTGACAAGGCTCGATCAACTATTCGACAACTCTACAGAGATTGGTCTGCTGAGGGCCTACCCGAAAGACATGCTGCTTTCTCGCCTATCATGGGGGCACTTTCGCAGTGCTTTCCATGTGCAACAGAGAAGCGTCCCGCTGTGCGCATATTGGTTCCAGGCGCTGGACTGGGCAGACTAGTCTTCGACCTCTGTGCAGCTGGTTACACGGTGGAAGGCAACGAGATCTCCTACCACCAACTCATAGCGTCTAATTACATTTTAAACTCAGTCAGGAAAGTGGGCCAGCATACACTATATCCCTGGGCACTAAGTTTCAGCAATCATCACACACGTTCCGCACAGCTGCAGGGTGTTGCTATTCCTGACATCGTTCCAGCGTTGGTCCTCGAGCAAGCCCAGGTAGAGTCACAAGCAGAGGTGCACCATAGTGAGCGCATGAGCATGACCTCGGGCGATTTTTGCGTTGTGTATCAAAAGCCGGAATATACACAGCATTTCGATGCCGTGACCACCTGCTTCTTTCTGGACACAGCTCCCAATGTGATTAGCTACATTGAGACCATCAAAGCCTGCTTGAAGACGAAGGGTATTTGGATCAATCTTGGACCATTACTATGGCATTTTGAGTCCGCACCATTACCGGGCGAACGTGAGGGCAGCAATCGAACTCATTCTGACTCGCAAACAAACGGTAATCAAGGTATTGGGGAGCCAGGATCGTTTGAGCTGTCGAATGAGGAAGTTGTTGCTCTTGTGTCGAGCCTGGGCTTCGAAATGCTTGAGCAGCAGACCGCGCCAGCAACAGGCTACATTCAGGATCCTGCGAGCATGCTGCAGAACGTATATCGCCCTGTGCTTTGGATAGCTAGAAAGACGTGAAAGCAGATCGAGTCGCGGCATCCCCGAACTTCGGAAATTCGTTTTCTCAGCGGCACCCTACAGCATCAATGCAGGATCGTGCAGAATCCAGAGCCGACACCGACTTTCACCTGGCTACTTAAACCGAGCCCCAGCTACTCGCCAGAGCCCTAGCATAAACCGATCTCTAATTAACCCCTGAGTATAGTATAGTTGGCTATTCGAAGGGCGCTCAGGTTCATCCTTCGGATCTGCCTTTACGAAGGCCTGTCTCCATTCCGACCCTCTGAGCTCTGCTGGAGCGTAGCCTCGCCAATGTGAGGAAGGAGCGTCTGAAGGGAGACAGACGAAGGCCCGCCTCGAGTGCGGGCGACGCTTCGGAGGGCAAGCATCGAACGCCCGTACAGCGGCTCCTTGCCTTTAAAATAGATAGGAAGTACCCTTCGAGCCTTCGAGGCGTTGTTTAGAGCCTATTTGGTAATCGCTTGATACTGTATCACAACACTATATTGCGGTTACCAAACAGCCACATTGTATTATAATATCGTGTCGCGGTTACCAAATATGAATACCATCTTCTGAATAGTCGTGATACATGTGATGATGTTGTCGTCGTCGCAATACTGAGAATACTGCCTCGAGGCTGGTGGATTGCCGGAATAGGCAATCCGGCATCAAATTCTTTACTATATCTAGTGTAATGCCACCACCTTCGACATTAGGCGGAATACTAGTGTTTCCGTACTAGCAGTACCTACTTGAGCATAGCCCATCGTCGGTATTAGTACGTTATCGGTAGTTTTAGCTATTACGGAGGCCTCGGAGGTATAGTTGTCGCGTTCTTCGTAGAATTTAACTACTATATTATCGCTGTCGCTATAGACGTCCTTTCACGGTCTACTAGACTATTAGAAGACCGCGTTCTTGCTATTCTAGCTACATTGTTACAGACTCTTAAATACTATAGTAAACAATATCTAGATTTCGAAGGAGACCGCAATGCCTTTATTTATTAGACTTACGAAGGAACTCGCTATACCGCCGAATTGCTAAGCAACGACAAGGAGTTATACAAGCTCTATCGAGTTAATATCGAGACGTTTAATAAGCTTCTTTGGCACCTTATTAAGCTCGAGAATAGCCTTCGTTTAACGCGTTATCTTACCGCCGCCGAGAGGTTAATACACTTCCTATATATCTATAGCTATAGAGCCACATACGACGAGACACACGCTCTATAGAAGCGCTCGACCTAGACAATAAGCTAGTCCTTCTACGAGGTTCTTCGCTGTGTTCTACTACTATATCTAGAGTATATAAAAGAGCCGGATTACAATAACGTACCTAAGCGATTAAGAGAGCTAAAATATGCCGCTTTTAAGGACTGTGTTAGCGCTATAGATCTACCTCCTATTAGGCTTGTAGGTATAAAGAATCAAACTGCGACCGAGTGTACGTAATAGATTAGTAATTAGGGCTAGCTTCCGAACTTTCCGACTAGCTAATTACAAACACACCTAATAATTCTTCGCCTATAAGCCTAAGAACAAGCCGTGCTAAACTAGCCTACGACGTACTACTTTTTCGCGACTACGCAAATATAACAATCTAAATAGCGGAGATTGTAGCCCTACTAATTGCGCTTTATTCTACCTACTAAACAAGTCTATACGACGTTAGCGCGTTAAGTTTTCGCCATTCTGCTAAGCCGACTCGACTATAGCTATCCGGATTACTAGGCGGCTAGCTACACTGCTAGAAACACCTTAATATATAATATACCGCATCGCCTAGCTAATACTTAGAGGTCCTTCTCCTAACGCCGGTAATTATTGTTTAGGTAGGCGAAAATTCCGTCCGACGCCTACTAACCGCTCTATAACCTTTAAGGGCAATCGACAACCTTCCTATAGCCGACTCGATACTTCGAGGTCCTTCGTAGACTATTTCTAAACACCTTTTATATATAGCATAAGTCTATCCGAGGTATAGTTATTAAGTTGCTGCTATATAGCAGACGCGACTCTAAAGCTAAGGTTAAAACACCTAAAAGTCGCTGCTAGTACTACTACTATAGCTAGGAGACCGCTACTACTACCGCTACTACTATAGCTAAGAGACCGCTGCTACTATAGCTGCTAGCATAGCTGCTACTATAGCTGCTACTATAGCTACTAGCACCGCTGCTACTATAGCTGCTAGCACCGCTGCTACTACCGCTGCTACTATAGCTGCTACCGCTACTAATATATCGAGCGACGATCTATCCTCCTTAACCTCGGTTCTACTATCTAATAATAACCTAGTCGGTAGTGCTGTCGCCTATAACTATAATAAGAATATAACCGGCCTAGACGACGATGCTACTTTGCCTAGAGGACCTAAGGAACAGACTGTTCTTATAGGCGCACAGACCGATCTACTAATCTATCTAAGCAGCGGCGGCATTCTCTCTAACCCTCTAGATCAATTAGTTAGACTAGCCGGGATAGATAAGATTAGTAACTTCTAGGATAAGGCATCCGCAGATAAAGACCTTAGCGAGGAGGATAAAGAGATGTCCGACGACGAGGAAGATCTCGAGCTTCGCGATAGTAACGAAGAAGATAGTAATAAAGATAGTAATAAAGCTAGCGAAGAAGATAGTAAAGAGGCAGACTAGCCTCTTACCGAAGAAGAGCGCCTTATAGCGGCCGCTCGCGGGAAGAGGAACCGCGATAAGCACTACAAAGAGATTAAGGAGCTTATAAATAAGCATAAGATTACTATACCGTACCTTATAAAGTTCCTAGTTGGCAAGCTAGGTAAGAAGGCCTAGTAGGACGTAACCTAGGATTAACTACGCGTCTTAACGAGGCGATCTAAGCGGTATAATAGAAACCTTAAGTCTCTCCTCGATGCCTTCCTAGAAGAACGCCTATTTAGCGCTCGTATTGTACGTGCAGAGCTTAAGACCCTTATCGGTAAGGATCTCTTTAGTACCTACTATCTAGAATTTAGCTATGCCGAATTCGACCTTACCGATATAGACAGTATTATTTATTAGTATGCCCCGACATAGTATTAGCTTCTTAGCTAGGACCTTCTCCCTAATGTCCGAAAGAACACCGCCTAGTACTAGGAAACCTTCTAGGACAGGTACAATGTTATCCGGAAGCGTACTACGATAATTATATCGCAAATCCTTTTCTTAATAGCTTATATTAATGCCTCTTTCTTCCCGAAGGCCCTTAGCATCTTTCTCGTTAGTAATAGAGCAAGCCGGAGAGTTCTCGAGTGCCTAAATAGCCTTAGCCTTGTCCCCTCGTACCGCACTATATAGATCCTAATAGGTAAGAATGCAGAAATCCAGATATAGAAGATTAGCGAGTTAGCTAACGACCCGAAGAAGCAGAGCAGCAAGACTATCGATAATTTCAATCGTATATAGACCTATATAGTCTAGCGGAGTAGTGAAACTAACAAGATACTTAGTATTATAACATCGTACCTTATAGAGAACAAGTACATTCTAGAGGGCGGGTTAAAGAAGGGCATAATCCACTACGATAAGCCTCTAGATCTAGACGATATCTTTAAGAATATATACGAGGATAAAGCCTATATATAGATCCTAAGGAACCTAGCCGATCCGACTACTAACAGCGAGACTGCTAACGGCGGGCCTAAGACTATTAAGATTACGGAGATTAGCAAGAAGACTGCCTTGTTCTATATCGATAAGGCTATCGTATACACTTTCCCGAAAGCCGTTAAAGCTATGTTTAAGAAGGAGGCGGTAGAGGCTAGTAACGACGATAACGATAGTAATGCCGTTAGTCGTCTAAAGACGCTGGCAGACAACCTCAAGCAACTCACGCACGCATTTACCTGGAGATGAAACATGCACTGCATTACCCGAAAGCGCGTCACTTACGCATTCCTCGCTGTCCTGGCGATCCTGGCCAAACCTAGATCGAGATAAGGACTTCAAAAACGGACCTAATAGACCGCTGATTATCTGTAATAGCGACTAGATAACTATTCTACGCGGCCTTTCTGTCCGTAATAAGAGTGTTAAGAGCGACGATGCGTACGACAAGCGAGACAATCTCTTGTTCTCTCCTGCCTAGTTCTATACTATAATAAACTGCGGCCTTATATTGCTGCGGACCTATTAGGACAATAACAGAGATAGGGAGCTATTGCTAGTATCCTAGACGTTAAAGGCTAATGCTGCCTTTTAGTATAGAGACAATAAGATTAGTAAGGATAAGGCTAAGTTCTTCGAGGTTTAGTAGCTATTAAAAACGAGCTTCCGATCTCGCATTGTCGGTCTCGTTATTTAGTAGCTTATCGATAAAGGCCGAGTCATTATCGCTAGCTAGGATAATCGCATAGAAATAGTAGAGGCCGCTATCTCTCGACTTACTCGCGATTAGTATATCTATCTTATCGATAAGATATATAACGATACGTTGTCTCCGTCTGCCTAGCGCGGCTAACCTAGAACAGATCCGCAGTTTACGATAATGTCTCGAATGCTAAAGGAGATTGAGCAATTCCTTACGTTGCGCAAGTCTATCCGTAATATAGATATTAGCTATCTTCGTAGATTAGTCGACTTCCTAATCCTATTATTCTTTAGTACTCGTTAGGGCAATTATAGCCGCCTAATAACCTACCTACGCTAGCTGCTCGGTCCTAGTGCTAATCTAGTAGTACAAAAGGCAATCCTAATATTAAGTGTGATCTCTATAAACGGTAACAAGGGACATGCTGTCGCAGCTAATAAGTGTCTTAAGCTCTATAATTACGAGTACTCTAAGGACATTAACCGACACGCCAATTCGACCTATAATATACAGGCCACATTTAAGAAGGTAGCATTAAACTGGGAGCTATCTAGAGTCTTACGCACTATAATAACCAATATAACTAGGATCAAGCTAAGTAGCTACTATACCTATAAGGACACCTCTATCGACGTATTTAGTAGAGCCGAGAAGCTATACTCTAATAGATATACAAAGCTATACGGAAACCCTAGTAGCAACGTCTCTAATAACATCTAGCAGCTCGGAGGCATGCAGATCTTAGAAAAGGTAGCCGACTTTAACGAGGGCAATGCGTAGTATTATTAGGGTCGTAGTACCGTATCGATAGACGAGGAGATAGAGGCTACTGCTATTGCTAGTCGTATAGCTACCGGTAATCTTAGTGCTATCGAAGACTCTACTGTTAATACTAGCGACTCTATATAGGCTAATGCGGTCGATCGGCGTAATAGATAGCTAGGAGACGAGCAGGAAGACGAGCAGGGAGACGAGGCGCTACCAACTACCTATCTTAACGAGCTTAACTAAGAGGGTAACACATTTAGTATATAGAAATCCAACCTGCTGTATCTATCGCTTAGCTACCGTTCCTTACTATGCCAATTAATATAGGCTGTTAGCTTCTAGTGCTACTATAGCTTTATCTTCTAGTGCTTTATCTTCTAGTGCTAGGCGTACGATGATAGCTTAATAGCTAGCTAGGCTAGGCGTAAGATAATTGCTTAATAGCTAGCTAGGCTAGGCGTACGATAATAGCTTAATAGCTAGCTAGGCTAGGCGTACGATAATTGCTTAATAGCTAGCTAGGCTAGGCGTACGATAATTGCTTAATAGCTAGCTAGGCTAGGCGTACGATAATTGCTTAATAGCTAGCTAGGCTAGGCGTACGATGATTGCTTAAT